ATCAAGGTACTTCTCATCTCACCCGTCACTATCTTTAACTTACATGCTAAAGCAGTTGGCACTTTTCACCATCAAGACAATTTATGCATTCTTGTTGTGTCGTGAATTCTTAAGGGAACCGTGAAGCTTGTATTCCAGCCTGGAGAAGAAGGTTATTCCGGTGCTTATTACATGTTGCAAGATGGAGTTCTCGATGACCTTGATGGAATCCTCAGCATCCATGTTTTGCCTAATGTGCCGACGGGGTTCCTTGCTTCCAGGCCTGGCCCGATGCTTGCAGGTGCTGGGGTGTTTTCCGCTACTATTCAGGGGAAAGGCGGGCACGCGGCACTTCCGCATCACAATATAGACCCTATTGTTGCAGCTTCATCTGCAATCCTCGGTCTTCAGCAAATTGTATCTCGAGAGACCGATCCTCTTGAGGCAAAGGTAGTTTCCTTCTCGTCCGTTTTATTCATTATCTTAAGCTTCTAGATGTTGGAGGGGAACATGATTATGCGTGTGCACGTGATTGTAATCATTCGAGAGTATGACATCTGCAGCAATTTCATATCACTGCCAAACTTGTCATCCGAAGATACTTCTTGTTGTTTGTTAACCATGCATTGTACACTCAGAATAGGGAAACAGAAGGCCTAAATCTGTCGTGCTACAATAAAGTTGTATGAGCATCACAGACTACCACCGAAAGTGTCTCTTGTTTGAACTTCCTTGTGAAATGTTTATGTGACTAATGGAATTTCCAGTAATGCACTATGTGCGTCTTTTCTAGTTGCATGTTCTGGTCTAGCTTTAGCATCATCTCAATATGTCATACTTTGAATGGACAGGTGGTGACGGTCGGGTACATCGAAGGAGGCCATACCGCTAACGTGATTCCTGAGTCTGTCAAATTTGGAGGAACCTTTAGAAGTTTGAGTTCCAGTGGTCTCTTATCCCTTCAGAAGAGGATAAAAGAGGTAAATTGACGAATTCGTCGGCCGGTCTCTTATTACCGAGGTTGTCGGTTATTTATTCTTGCAAATACTTTGTGTTGTGGTTGCAGGTCATAGAAATGCAAGCGGCTGTTCACAGATGTAAAGCTGTGGTACACTTCGGAGAGGACAACGTGCCTCTTTACCCTGTAATGGTTAATGACAAAGTCCTATATGAACACACGAAAAGGGTCGGAGAGATCCTGCTCGGCGAAGGCAAAGTGCAGCTTATGCCGGTGACAATGGGATCCGAGGACTTCAGCTTCTTCGCGGACAAGACCGCTTCTTTGATTTTCGTGGTGGGGATACAAAATGAGACTCTGAAATCGCATCACGTGCTGCACTCGCCTTACTTCTTCGTCGACGAGGAGGCTTTCCCTATTGGAGCGGCTCTTCATGCAGCTGTTGCAATGTCATACTTGGATGAGCACGCGGATGCAGATAGTGCGTGTCCTTGCTATGGTTACCCTTAAGCCTCAACCTGCGTAAGAAAGTTATAAAGGGTTACTCATTGACCAGAGATTCCTAGATTCGTATGCTAGTCTGTGGGTTTGTTTCCTTTACGAAAGACGTGGGATCTTGATCTCCCAATCGCCATGAATTAACAGAGATATATCTTAAGAATCAGTAAGAGTATTGCATTCACGAAAATCTGCTGACTTGCTTTCAGTCATATCCGCAAGGGTCTTCGAATCCAATTCAACAGTAATCTTCGACAAACCCTGCTCTTGTGCATATCATGCCCATGACTAAGCTTTGAACAGAAGATGAATCCTCCTTTCCAATCTCCTCCTTCATCAAGTAAGAATCTTCCTGCTCCAGCCAAGCCCAGGATTTTGTTTGGATGTGGGACGGAAGAAAAGTAATCTCTCTAATTTCAGAGCAAACTCAAAAGATAGATTCAAGCTTCAACTTTTATGAGAAATATCACTGAAAGTCTACATTATAAATATATATAGATATATATATATATATATATATATATATATATGATTTTTTAGAACTAGATCTTTCTAAATTTAAATTTTGACACTTCTTATTTCGGGTATGTTAATCAATCTTATTTTACAGGATAACCCCAAAGATGGTTTCAATCCAAACTCTTTTCAATAAGGTTCTGTTGAACTTGTGGCTCAAAGTTCTTGCCAAAATTTGGAGTTTGGATGGAGCTCGGACATCGGATGGGTCGGTGACTTGTTTGCAGGTGCTTGTGGTCCGACGAGGCAAGAGACTGGCCGCCGGGCCCTGGCCATCGGATGGGTTGGAGACATCTATGGAGGTGCCCGTGGTGCGTGAAGGCTAGAGACTTGTTTCTGGCCAACAAAATAAAATCATAAAAGCTAAATTTTGGAAAAATTAATTAAGGGTTGCTTTACTTGTTTGGTTCATCGGACCGGCTCGTGATGCGCTCTTCACCCCGTGTTTAAGTCGCGCCCCTATTTTGTCTAGTCAGTGTTTTTCAGCGCGAGTGAGCGTGGTGAGACCCGGGCTCGTTAGTTTAGCATGACCGTGCGTGAACGTGTGTGATTTCGAGTTGATTTGGGACCGTTTCGTGGCTGAGTCGGGGCTCGGGCCACCATTCGCAGCCGTGACATGGCTTGCGATTCGTGGTGGTGGTGGTGGTTGGAAGCGAGGCGAGTCAAGGCATTGGGTAAAATTCCAAACTAGTACACCTATGACAATTTTTCACAAGAAACCTCAAACTGATATATTTGTGATAAATTTACCTTCTGTTAAATTAAATTAATACCACAAAAAATCACAAACGGATACACATGTGACAAACGGAGGGTAAAGCCCCAAACTGGTACACCCGTCAATTGCCACGTGTCATTCAACTCAAAAATTTGACGGTAAAATTTAACGGAAACTAATGGAAGGTAAATTATCATAGGTATATCAGTTTATGGTAAATTTATCAAAGATGTAGCAGTTTGAGATTTTTCATTATATTAACCCTAACTTTTATAATAACTTTCAAGCAGGAAACTTTTTAAGTCAGTTATAATAAAGAATGTTCTTTTCCCTCTTTCTTTTCTGATTTCTCTTGTCTCTCTGTTTGCAAGAACTCTTGCTCTAAATATGTACAAGTTAATTTTTCTTTCCTATTTTGTTGCAGGGATTTACACTAAAAAAAAAATCAAAGACATTGAGATATGGGTCGTCGCGAATTAACTTTAGAGTTTATCGCCAATGAGAAAGCATGGAGAATCATTTACAAGAGTGATCCACCTAGTACGGCGTCGACACGTGCTTAATCATCTACGACCCCGTGGGGTCCGCCACCGCCACCGCCACCGCCACCGCCACCGCCACCGAGTCTAAGGTCTGGCCCGCCCCTCGAACTGTTCTCAATGATGCAACGCAATCTGATCTCAACCCAAATGATGCAAGCTTCCTCACCGGGGAATCATACATTTCGTGATTATCTTCTGATCAAGAAGAGTTTGATTTACTTCGTTATGCATTATTAAGTGATTTTAGCCATTTTCTTTAGGTGGTTGGTTTAGGGCCTGTTTGGTTCAACTTTGAAAATGCTACTTGGGGAAATGTAAATACCTTTGGGTGAAAGCCCATTGGGGAAATGCAAATGATGTTTAGTAAAAATATTTTGTAAAGCTACTTTGGCCAAAATATAGTGTTTGGTGAATTTTTTTTTGCAAATGCACTTTGAGAATTATCTTATTTATTAAAAAAAAAAAACAAAACCTACCCATCGCCGGAGCCGACCGCCGGCCGCCGGCAAACGTCGCCCGAGGTCGGGCGAACCCTGGCGAGCCAGATCCGCCGCCGCCGGCGGTCGCCCGAGGCCAGGCGACCCTCGGCGGGGTCGCACGACCCAGGCGACGGCCGCCTGGGTCGCGTGACCCCCGCCGAGGGTCGCCTGGCCTCGGGCGACCACCGGCGGAGGTGGATCTGGCTCGCTGGCCGCCGTCGCCGGCCCTTCTGGTGAAGAAGATGAACAGCGCTAAACCCAAAAAAAAAAAAAAAAAAAAAAGATATGAACAGTAGCATTCGTGGAATCTTTGAAAGCCCAAGGCTGGTCCCACTGACCTTGGGCTTTCAGCATTGGAATGCCGAGCATTTGGCCAATGCTAGGCCAAATGCTGAACCAAATACTCTAACATTTTGGGAAGGGGCATTCGAGGCCCAAAACCCCTTCCCAAAGCTGAACCAAACACCCCCTTACAATATGTGTAGACTGTAGATATGTCAATATTTATTGCTGCCGTAGGATTGTTACTATTAGGGTGAGGTACTTCCTTTCTCTCCACATTAAATTGTTCAGATGGGCAAGTGAGGAGTCTTGTAATTTTTTTCTTTATGGATGTCCAAAAAGATGGGAAAAGGGAAGAAATCAATAAAATGTGACAGGTTGATGTCTGACTGCAAGAATCTACAAGAGTAAGGAAATATGCTTTGTTGGAAAATCGACAATTCTATTCTAATATATTACCCTTGTTTATTTATCCATCTATTCTAATATATAATTCAAGTTCAGAGATAACACTGAGCATTTTTATATAGTTCGGGGGCTGAATTGAACATATACCAAAAGTTCATTGACCATATTGAACAAATTAAAAGTTCAAGGACCACATTATATATTAGGTCAAAGTTCAGGGATCATTTATGTCATTTTCCCTTTTTATTTTACCTAACTCGTAACCCATCCAATTTTGGTAAACCAAGTGTTGGAATAATTATTCTATTCCCAAACCAAACTACAGATTAGCTTTTCAATACTGGATCGGGGCTTGGCCCACCGGGCCGAATCAATTCAATATGGGCAGAAAGCCTTCTGTTCAGTTGGGCCTTTAAATCGAGCCCAATATCTCGAGGCCCGACCGGGCCATCGACATTTCGTCGATAGATCGGCGAGCCCCCAGGTAGGGAACGAGGAAGAACGGTAAGATGTGGGCATACCCACCGACGCGGAGGCAACTGGCGGCGACGATCGGCGTCTTCGCCGCCGGCGCCACCCTGATTGCGGCCGGCATCCACCTCTCCTACGCCAACGTCGCTCCTCAGCAAGCCCGTGCCAAAGCTCGCAGCGACTTCGTCAAGTCTCGCCTCCGGAAGCTCCTCGACGATTGACCCTCCCGACCCGCCGGCCGCGGCCTCCCCCACCCACAAGTGACGATTTCTCTCTTCCCGGTGAGCATCGCCGTCTTTCAGTTAATTCCCCCGGAGAGCTCTGAATCTGCTCGTGTTCCTGCTTCTTTTAACGGCGTAGTGCTTGGGTGTGTTGGATTGACTCTGTTTTCGGAGTGGGACTTGATTAGATCAGCTCCAAGTTGGCTTTTTTTGCTTTTGTTTGTCGAAGAATGGGGAACCCATCTGTTGATTCACCGTACGTTTCGAGGGGTTCTATGTATGCGTGTTCGTGTCATACCAACTGTTCGATTAAATTACTGAGTCAAGTGATGACCCTGCAACGAAGTTGTTATCTTTTGTTCCATCTTTCATTTTTGACGACAGAGAGCATCGTTAGGTGCCTTTATGTTTTTGGGTGCATCCTGTCTTTAATGACTTCTTTTGGCATGACCATCATTTGTATAGAGGAGCAGATGATCATTTAAAGAAAAAGGAAGAAGGTTGTTGTAATGTGCAGAGATGTTGAAGGTTTTGTATCTCTAGAAGCATGCTGTAATTGTTGTACCCATCTAGTTTCTCCTACTTATTTCTTGGTTTATGTACTCTGGAACATTTTCCAGCATTTTTGCATCTTAGCTTTTCAAAGAACGGTGGTTGTTATCAACATATGGTCAAATTGCTTGTAATATGGATGTGACCCAATTCAGCCGGCACTTCTCTCTGATCTTACAATTGAAGATGAGCCAGTTTCTCTGCTTCCTTTAATATGATGGTGACAGACAGTATAAGCACTTTCTGGTTTTCTTGTCACAAATCAAGACCCTTTTGAACATGGATTTCACCTTGTCCCCCACCTTGTGAGAATCTCTTTCAGAGTTATTTATTTTGGCTATTAAAACCTATTGATCCTCCTACATTCTTGTAAAGAAATTGATTCACATGGAGGATGGTCAATTGAGCATCAAAGTTTGACATCCAAACTTATCGAACCTATGAATTGTCTCCACCTCCTTTCCACTAGAATATAAACCACAGAACGTAGTCGGTAGTATTGGATCTTATTTTACATTAAGTTTGTCATCAAACCCTGTTCAGGTGCACCTCAAATGATGAGGAGGAGGAGCCATAATCAATTGGACTAGTCACGATCTAATTCAGTTGAATGCACACACCTGGTTGCAGTGCTCTCATTCTAGCTTTCACATCAAGTGTGTTATGTAGTGATGCTGTTAGATTAACACTCATGTTGTCCTTAGGCTTAGCTTGGCTTGCTTGAAACGGGCCAACATCAGCTTGAGTAAGGGACTGAACAAAGGCTGAACTTACCTTGTTCTCAAGCAAGTCAAAGACGATCAATCTTTGACATTTACACCATGACTTATAATGAACTTCCTTTGTTTATAATATCATTAATACAAGTATGGTGGTAAGCAGTAACTAGAAAGATTTCCCAGATTGCTGTTGAAGGTTATGTTGTTGTCAATCATAATTCTGAACTTATGAAAAAGAACTGTTTGGTTCTTTCGATAGAAATGCTCATTTTTTAACTACATTCTCTTGGATGAGTGATCTCCAGTTCTTTCTCAGAGTTTGGAACTTCGCGCAAATGACAAAGACGGCAATCTAGATCTGTGATGTATGCTTAACATATTGTTTTCAGGATTTATTGTGGTACTCTTGTTCTTTAAATTTCACACATTTTCTGGCTCCAATACACAGTTACGAAGTTTTGATGCACTTAGTTACCTGACAGGATGGTTCATTTTTTGTTTATTTTCCAGGAAAGATCCGTGCTTTATTTGGTATTAAAGATTCTTATTTTTTGCCTTATTAACCTACAGGTGATTCATTGCAAAAGGACAGAAAGTGACTGTTAGTATAGGGTCCATGGATTCTCCAACACATAACACATCATTGCAGCAGCTTCAAAATGTTGAGAAGAGAATTATGAAGGTTTTGGAGCTAGCCGGTGAAGTGATGGCCGAACTAGCTAATCCTGCTGGTCCCAGAAAGGAATTTATCAACAACCATTGCCGTGAATTCATGCAACTGATCAAGGACATCCAAGTAACATTGAGACATGAAATTAAAAGTGCATGTGAATACCGCCCACTTGAGAAGTCCGATTACAGTTCTCGAATGGCTGATGAGATTTGTCTCAAGAAGCTGAAATACATCATTTCTCAGCTGGATGGAATTAAAAAAACGATTTAATAACACGATAGTAAAGCTGGACCGCCAAAAGTTCAGCCAATTTAGAAAAGCACGAGATTAGGGTATACTGGTAGACTGTAGTTTGTGAAGATCCACTTAGGGAAATTATTGTGGGTTATCCATTTTTTTTCAGATGAGGAGCACTTTTTTTTTTTTGCTAAAACTTCAGATCAGGAGCACTTAAAGTACGAGATGGTAGTTCTACTATGTTTATGGATGATGCTTTGGTTTGGCCTTTGCTTTTTGATCTGTGTAAGTTGGATATTCCTTACTTGTCATGCAGCCAAGTCTTAGTGCACTTGGAAGACTAACTTCTGAGCACAAACCCATTGTATGGACAGGTAAAGGAAAGCACTCTATGGCCAAAACAAAGTACATAAAAGCACTGCACTCATTATTCGCTCGTGTTGGTATATAATGCAGTGTTCCGTTCGCTGGCCTGGTGTATATGCGGACAACGGAGGATGAGATTTCAGTTTCATGTGAATTACCATGATTATGACCCAATACTCATGTTGTGTTCATTCAATCAATAAACAAGTGATGGTATATGAGCAGAACCGGAACTCACTCCCCATGTTAACTTTAAGAAGATTAATAGATGGCGAATCCAGAATCCTCGCTTATGTGTTGCTTCACATGTTACCTGAAAAGAACAAAGAGAGCATCATTCCTTGGACTGGAAAGGAATCAACAAGAACCTGCTGTTTTCTGGCTTCTACACGGTATGATATGGGTACTTGATACTTATAGCTATTTTCTTGCCAATTAGATCAAATCTAAGCTCATGGTAAGCTCTTCACCCCACCCCCAACTGACTAAAGAGACTACTAGTCATGTCATGTCGTCTAGATGCGAAATTTGTTGATGTGGCAGAAAGCACGTTTGACATATCGACAATTTTATGTCGAATGTACAAGAATGACATATCAATTTTGCTATGCTTAGGCCCCGTTTGGTTCAGCTTTAGAAATGGGCTTTTGGCCTCGAAAGCCCCTTTCCAAAATGTTGAACTATTTGGTTCAGCATTCGGCCTAGCATTGGCTAAATGCTAGCATTTGGAATGCCAAAAGCCCAAAGCTGGTCCGTACTAGCTTTGGGCTTTCGGCATTCCACAAATGCTAAACCCAAATTTTTTGTCCCCAAACTACCCTCACTTATTTTGGCTCATTCCGGTTTTGCCTCACTTGGTACTGTTCATCTTCTTCGTGAGGTGGCCGGTGACGGCGGCCGACACCGAATTGGGCCGGCGAGAGGTCGGCGACGTAGCACGACCCAGGCGACAGCCACCTGAGGTCACGCGACCGCCCAAGCACTGCCGGCCTGGGTCGCTCGACCCTATTTGCCGCCTGGGTCGCGTGACCTCAGGCTGTCGTCGCCTGGGTCGCGCAACCCAGGCGATCGGCGCCAAGGTCGCTTGACCTCAGGCGGCTGGCGCCTAGGTCGCTTGGCCTCGGGCGATGACCACCAGCCCCAGATCTAGCTCGTCGGGGGTCACCCGACCTCAGGCGAGAGCCGCCGGCGCCAGATCTAACTCGCCGGCTGCCGTAGGCCTTCGCCGGTTCCGGCGGCCGTAAGCCTTCGCCGATTCTGGCGAAGGATAGGATAGGTTTTTTCTTTTTAATAAAAAAGATAATTCCCAAAGCCCTTTTGCAAAAATAAATTTACCAAACACTACTTGGACCAAAATAGCTTTATAAATGATTTTTTACCAAACGCCACTTACATTTCCCCAAGGGACTTTAACCTAAAGGTATTTGCATTCCCCCAAGTAGCATTTGAAAAGTTGAACCAAACGGGCCCTTAGTATAATTGGTTTCATGTGCTTTTTAGTCATGGACCTCGATAATTTGTCCTACGAAGGCTCATCCATAAAGCAGACATATTGATGAGCTAAGCTGCAATGCGCTTGTCAGCATAACTGGGGTGGACTTCAGACGCTAATTTTGACCGATTCGGCTCGGCCGGGTCCAAACAATTGGAACCTAAGAAACATCCTCACTCCAAAGGAAGGGCCAGGCCAGAATTCTCATCTGATTTTATTCGAGTACAGAGAGAGGAACAAAAGGGAAACGTCTGATTTATGACACTTCTTTTGAGAGAGAGAGAGAGAGAGAGAGAAGGTTTAGTATATTTGATCCGCAACTAATAATAATTTTCGAGTTTTCAAAATGAGAAAAAGTTATCAAAAGCTCTAAATCATGTCTACTATGATACATTTATCCTGAACTTTTATTCACGACATCAAAAGTCTCAAACTATATCCGCTGTTACACATCTACCCCAAACTTTTTTTTGTCATATAAAAAACTCCAAGTTTGTACTTGTGGACACATTTACCGTCCGTCAAAATTTAGTCAAATGAATTTCCATCAAAACGACATTATTTTTATTTCACTTAAGTTATATGGACGCCGTGTCAACACCGTTTGCGTTTCGTCGTTCATGTATACATATTTTTAATATTCACGGAAGGTAAATGTATTACACACGGGTGTAAGTTTTGGAGTTTTTATATCACAAATTTTTTTTTACAGTAAATATGTCACAGTGGACATAATTTTAGGTTTTTGATAGCTTTTTCTTTTCCAAAATTTAAATGCAAAATCAGTCGAAATCATGCCGTGCATGATACAACTGGAATGCATTCTCCCCTTCCTCAGACTCTCATGATGACCCCCAACTCCCACGATCTCATCAAAATCACCTTTTGATTACATTCTCCTGCCAAATACATAGCCAACTTCTCCTCCTCCTCCTCCTCCTCTATTTGTCGACTAAATAATGGAGGTTTGAGCAAACTTCAAAAGAAAGTGCCTTTTCCCCCAGAGATATCCATAGACCCATCTGCCTACAATCCAAATAAACCTAACTCTTGCAGCAACTTTGACTTTGATTTTGCAAGCACCGGCCTTTCCTTTCGTTTCACATCTCTCTTTTTGCGAGAACGACGTGTGTGAATTTTCTAAGTCCCATTGACTATGCGAGTCGCGTGAACATGGAGAGAGGATGTTGGTAGGACAGGAGATATGTCTGACCGGTTTTGGAAAGTTGGGGGGCGAGGAGCAATCCAGCCAGAGCATTATTGACTGCGACATCGGCCCGCAGGTCCTCCATCCGTTTCCTTTCTCTTTCGAGTTAGGCAACGATGGGGACAGCTCCAATTTGACCCAACAGTTACCGCTCAAATCAGTCATTTTTTAAAACATTAAGGTCATCAGATGAATAATTTTAAGTTTCGCAACCATGTATAAAACCCGAAAGCCTTCGGTTCGAAAAGACCTCAAAGTTATTGCTCACACGAGAACAATGTCAATACGAGATCCGCGTTTTACGGGACTCATCTCGGGATTACAGATTCCTGTATCGAGACTTTCCGGGTGATTCCACACATATGTCAATACGAGATCCGCGTGTTTGGCGTGCCTCGTTAGTCATGGAATCGCATGAATTTTTATTTTTATTTTTCAAAGAAAGCCTAACATGTTTACTTAGACTCGGGTTTAGAGTAATAATTTAATGTTATCTTCCCTACCTAGTTAGTCACAAACTAGAGGCAGGCTAAGTCGTTATCATTTTGAAGACTAAAGAGGTGGTTCCCAAATGACACTCTCTTTAAGGAGATGCTTTGTGCTCATTAAACATGCAGATGGTGTCCCGATGAGCGAGGAGATCTTATCGATTAACTTGTATTTAAACAGATGACGCAGTTTGGCAATTCGTGCATGACAATAATTCAATGAATTTCACTATATATATATATATATAGGAGAGGTTAAACAGAAGTGACTGACTAGTCCTAGGTATTTTGTGGTTTATAGTTTTATTATGGCCCCTGTAATGGATGCATTGAACACGGATAAATTATCCAATTAGACATAAACATGTTGTATAGATACCAATTGGATCTTAAAATTTTCAATTGCGCCAAATTAGTTCTGGATTTTCGCACGAAATTTCAATGTAATCCTTCCGGCCAATCTTCTCCGGAAGTAGCTAACGTGGCGGTTTAGTCATTGTTGGCAGTCCTACACGATACACTGCCACATGTCACTGATTTCCCGGCGAAGATTGGCTGAAAGGACTACATTGGAATTTCACACGAAAATCTCAAATAAATTGGCAAAATAAAAAAGTTAAGGACTGAATTGGCATATGTACAACAGATTTGGAGCTTATTGGACAATTTCCCCCATTGAACTCTACCGTCCCATATACTTACAGATTGGGATAATTGTCCAAAATCCTTATACATATTGTATGGCAGTTAATTCAGTTATAAACCTGTCAATTGTGCCAATTTAGTTTTAAACCTTTTGACAATTTGCCAATTTAGTCCTTAATATTTCTTTGTGTCAATTTAGTCCTAAATCTTTTGAAGATTTGCAATTTAGTCCTAACCCTATTATTTGGATATTTAGCTGAAAGAATTATTGGCAAATTGTCAAAATGCATAGAACTAAATTGGTAAATCATCGAAAGGTTTAAGATTGAATTAGTACAATTGAAAGGTTTATGACTAAATCGGCAAATCGTTAAAATGTTTATGATTAAATTGACATGATTAAAAGGTTAGGACCAAATTGGCTTCCGTACAGTAAATTTAAAATTTTTTGGACAATTTTCCTAGAAAAGATCGTATCGTTGGTTAGATTCATTCCTGCAAATGGTAAAGTAATTAATCTCAATCAATTATAGTAAAATATTACATCAATACCATATAGCACTCGCACAAAAATGCGCTTTAGATTAGGTTCCTAGAATCGGTACCACGTGATACAAGCGATTATACTACTAATCAAGGAAACTCTCTCCCACAATTCCACCTCAAACTTTTACAAAAAAAAAAAAAAAGTCACAAAAAAGTCGTTCATATATATATATTAAAATACTCTATGAGCACACATTATTGTGATCGAAGAAAATTGCAATTTACGATTATCATGACGATTGACAAATGAATTAATCATGGATTTCTTGATTTTTCAAATTTAAACTCTGATAATTGTCAAACTATAACAAAATCTCTAGTCCTTCATTGATATGTGAAACTCTGAGAGTATAATCGAGCCCAGCCGAGCAGATACACTCCGGTTCATCTCGAATCGAAGAACTAGGTGCCTCAAAACTCGAGCTCGAGCGGTACTAAATTTTCTACTTAAGCTCGACTCGAACAATCTATCGGAATGAGCTCGGCTCGATTACCATCAAGCAATAAACGAGGCGACCGAGCTCGAGCTTTAAGAGCTCGAGCGAGCTAGAACAGAGCTTAATTTAAGAGCTGGAAGAAGCGAAATCAAACTTCAAGAGCTCTATATTCCACTAACCCTTATAAAAATATGCAAGGAATGGTTTTTTAATTCAGACGTTCAGCAAGATTTCATTGCCATGGGAATCTCTTCTAATCAACTCTACACCCATCTCGTTCCACGTCCCATCAATAACACTTAATCAAGTGATTAGAAACGAGAAGGAAGGACGACGAGAGGACGTGCCGGGTTTTGCTCTCGAAACGGAAACCGGGCCGAAACTTCGGGGATCACAGAGCAATAACGTCAAACAAGTCATGGGCGGCGGCGGCAGCCGCCGACGGACCACACGCAGCAGATGACGAGGGGGCACCACGAGCGCGCTCGTCGACATTCGAATGCGAGAGAGAAGTCTCGCACGCACGGAGCGGCAGACGACGACGAGGACGACGGCCCCCCTCGTCGCTCCCCGCCACAGCACGCGCGCGCGCCGCCCAAGAGCGGCCCACGTCCCTGCGCCGTCCTGTCGCTTTCGTCCTCGCCGGTTGCTGCCGCGGCCGCAGAAGGGGAAAGCATGCGGGACTAAGCAAGAGAAAAGGCCAAAAAAAAAGGGAAAAAACAAGGCAGAGAGGGATGACGTGGCCTTGCTGGCCACGCTGATTCGGTGGGGCCCACCTCCTCAGCCCCCGGCCCGGTATTCGACACGTGTCGGGGGCCCACGCTCCGAATTTCAGCACGCATGCCCCCCCCCCTGACTACGGTATGGGTTTCCAATCATGCAATTAATTTTCCTTGGCATCACATTCAATTTTTTGTTTTGCTGCCACTCCACATGCAAAAAACACAAAGAAAGAAAAAACAAAAGAGAGGGATGACGTGGCCTCCCCTCAAGCTTTTATTATTATTATTTTTATTTCGACAAATTTAACACCTTCCTCTCCAATTTCTTTCTTTTTAATCTCCTTCGATGAGCAATGTGATAGATATAACTATATAATTTCGACATAATTTTTGCGGATTCTGATCTTACTGTATGAATAATATCAGGTATCCATTTAAAGTCTTTTTCAATATTATCGTCAATAATAACACTCGGTACATATCGTCACTGATTATTGTTTCGGTACAGGTCTATTGAATGTCTTCTTTTATTCGTAACCTTATTTTTTTTTATGTATTTTTTTTCCCTGAGAAGTTCTTTTTTGTGGCCGAGAGATGTTGCACGTAGCCATGCCATGGAAAAATTAAAAAAATAAATGTTCGAGTTCAAACATTTTTATACTGGACCAAATTTGATTTTTGGCTGCCCAAGATCAGTGTGCCAGGTGGTCTCCAGCCGCAAATTGGACCCGACTAGCACATTATTTTGTGCCCAGCTGGTGGTTATATGTGGTACACACGGGGAAGGATCGATGCCCGACTTTCCAATTTGTCTTCTAATCAATAACGTGAGGCTACAGTATGTATCTAGCTAGATTGCACTAAATTTCACTCGAGTCGGAGAAATGTCACGTGTGCCCCGTCGGTTGTCCCTTGACTTCAGCTAATTGAAAACTTTGGCGCTGCTGCAATCCACGTGCGTTCGACAGATGACCGACGATCGAGAAATGAGTGAGGACTCGATCTTGGATCCTGAATTCAAGGTTTGGAATGAGTCGGGCTTGGGCACTCAACCGAAAGCTCTGGAATCTGATGATGAGAGATATTGAGTGAAGGGTTTGATTTTGATGAATCTAGTCACGAGGAAGTAAAGGTACAAGAATTTGAAGTGCATAGAGTGAAAGTAAAGTGCTGATTAGCCTTAGCCAATCTTCAATCTGGCTAATCTCCATCTAACATTGTATCGCAACATCGTTAGAACTTGTTGTGCAACAAGCAATGTAGTCAGCAAAGTAATTTTCTTTAGCTGGCTGAGTTTTATGATTACAATTGAATGTTTTTTACCTGACTGAGTTTTGATATTCCTTTTCCACTTCAAGTTGGATCGAATGGAATCACAAATGCGGCATGATTTCTATCTTAAACATCTTGGCCAAAGAGAAATCATCGACCTAATTTTCGGGATAATTACCCAATTAGTTCTAAACCCATTATACGGATGATAATTCAATCCTAATATTTTTTATCCTGTTGATTTAGTCCTAAACTTTCGCGCGAAATTCCAATGTAACCTTTCTGACCAATTGCCGCCGAAAATCGATGATGTAGTGTTCGATCATCGCCGACCTTTTTATGTGGCACGCTAATATGGACAATTTATGGATCACCACATTAGTGTTGTTCGACGGCGATTGGCCGTAAGAACTGCATTAAAATTTCATACAAAGATTTAGGAATACATTGACAAAATTAAAAAAGTTTAGAACTAAATTGATATCAACATCGTGCGTATACGAGATTCACGAGATTGACACTCAGTCAATAATGGTTTCAGCGGGGCCATCCTTCACTTGACCGTAGCCGCGCATGCCTTTCAAAAAGATATCTGACATTGCCTAATCAACAAGATATCCTCCTGCAAACGTGAAATCCCTTGTGATTGCACACTCATGTGGAAGACCACGAGGAAGTGTCCTTTAGCACTTAGCCTTTCATTTAGATAATTAACTTTAGGAGAATTTGGTTTGCTAGAATCTCTCTTTCGAGTTCTTCTTGCTTACCTTAGCAATTACCCGTAATTGATATTCCACATTCAAAATCTTCTTCAATCTTAAGTCCCATCTGGTAAGCCATTTTCTTTGTGCTAAAATTTACACGCGGTAGGGAAATGATAAGCACGTGTCATGGACCGCGATTCTCTCGTACTCTCGTACCCTTGTGAGTGGAGCTTGGGGTTATAAGGCGAAGAGTGAGGATGCAAAAGGAATTAATATAATTGGTTCGGGGGAGTGGTGTCAGGACAGTTGGTGTTAGGAGTTATAAGATGTAATGAATATACCAGGGCTCTGAATGTAGGGTTGACCTCTGGTGTACAAACTGGTCGGGAGCTAATGCCACTCTTCTAATGAGGCCATAGTAAGGCAAAACTAGTTGTTGTGCCTAAAGTGTTCTGCATGTATCACTCGATAAACTAGACGCTCGAGTTATGCTGGACGTGGTATGATTCGATACGAGGAAACTATCCAATGTATTGTTTTTTAGAACAACTAGAGAACGAGGGTTGGCCTAGTGCGAGCGATCCACCAGGCGCCGCACGGGCTTTTCTGTGGCAAAGGAATTGTCGGACCGTGACACAAGCCACATTGATTGTCGCTTGACTTCAACGAATCGAAAACATTGGCACAAGCTTAGTCCTTTATGCATTAAACAAAAAGAAATGACAATTGAGAAAGGAACACAAACTCGATCTTGGATTCCGAAGTCGAGTTCTAGGATGATTAGAACACCCAAACGCAGGCTCTTGACTTTGGTGGCAAGAGATCTCGAGCAAATAGTTTGGTTTTGACTATATTGAGGAACGTAAAAGTATATGAAATTGAAGCATATAAAAGTAAATGTGAAAGTAAAGTGTGGTTACATGATAACAAAGATAGATTGATATGTGCTTCGCGAAATGGGATAATTACCAAAAAAGTATTTATTGTATCCATGCCAATTCAATTCTAAACATTTCAACCTTTTGACAATTTGCCAATATAGTCCATCCAATCAATTTTGGCTGAAAATCGCTGATGTGGACACTAACTGTTCTACATGGCACGACCAGCGCTGACGTGGATAATTTTTTAAATATTCCGAATAATTAATTAATTTTTTACTTTCTTTTCCCTTTCTTTTCTTTTCCTTCTTTTTTTTTTCCACTATGGCCGATGAGGGTTGCTGAAGCTTAACAGCCGTTCGAGCTTGACGGCCACCAAGTGAGGGCCGCGAAGCTCCCACTAGCCGTTAGTGAGGGCCGCAATGGTCTGAGCGAGGCTAGCCTCTCCATGGCCTCGCCGACCGTGGGTGAGGTCGCCTTTGCTCGCAACTTGCAAGGCTAGCCTTGCCTGCAGTCACGATGGTCTGGGCGTGGGCAGCCTCACCATGGCCTCGTTGGCCGTGGGCAAGGCCACCTTGCCAAGATCTAGGCAAGGCTAGCCTCCCTATGGCCTCATCGGCCGTGGGCAAGGCCGCCTTTGCCTCCGGCCGCGATGGCCTCACCCTCTTTGGCCACAGCCCTTGCAGGTGGCCGACGAGTTCCGGTGACCCTCTTTGGCCATAATGAAAAAAAAGAAGAAGAAAAAGAGACTAAAAGAAAAAAGAAAAGGAAAAAGAAATAATAAATTTGAAAAAATAATAAAAAAATTGAAAAAAAATTGTCCACGTTAGCGTCGGCAATGTTACGTAGAACGACCAACGTCTATTTGAGCGATTTCGATCATTATTGGCCAGATGGACTACATTAGCAAATTATCAAAAAATTTAGGACTAAATTGACTAAATTAAAAGGTTTAGAACTGAATTGGCCCAAGTGTAATAAGTTTAGGATTTTTTGGTGATTTTTCCTTCATGATACCCTCATTGTGGACTACACAACGCCTATTTGTTGGCTGTTCCAAACGAAACTTTAATTTGGAAACAATGCAAACAAAGAACAGAGCAAGAATACATTTGAAACAAACTAACTAATGTAAACTTCTCATTGAAAGATATGATCATATCCACTTACAACTTCCACCTTCCCATATCAGATACCATCCTTGTATCTCAAAACCTACATTATATATATATATATATATATATATATCTCATTTGAGGTCAAGGACGGTCGTGACGGCCTCAAGAGGAGTGATGGCTATGCGTGGTGGAGAGTGGAAGGCTGGGTATATGTGCATTTGAACCTATCGAGTCGAGAAGTGAGAGAGAGAGAGGAGCCGGAGTAGGGTTTTATTGGGTGAGAGCAATTTGGAATGAAAATGGTAAACTTGGTAAATTATGTGCACATGAGAGACGCAACTTGAAAGCCAACAAAAAAGAAAGAATGATAACTGTAGGTTTTGAAATGTGAGGAGCATGATATGAAGAATACGAGCTCAGAGTTCAGCAGTGATGTCGTGATGGAGGTGGTCGTCTATAATGGCGAAGCCTTGCAGTAGCAAGGGGGTTGGGCTTTGGTTGTGTGGCTAGGCAAGGAGGAGGTGGGAAGAGAACCTTTCTCTTTTATGATGATTACATGAAGTGGTCTCGTGATGGAGACAGAGGATTTAAGGGCATAATTGTTCAAAAAGTTATAAACGTGTTGTACAACGACTAATACAATCATAAACCTTTAACTTTTTAACAATTTGCCAATATAGTCATTCCAATCAATTTTGGTTGGAAATTACTGACGTGGATGCCGGTTGTCTTATGTGGCATGGCCGGCAACCACCGGTGCTAATGTGGACAATATTTGCAAATACTTAAATGAAATTTCTCAATTTGTCAATGATTTTTTATATTTTTTCTTTTATTTTTCTTCTATATTTTTTTTCCACTTTTAAGGGCCACCCCGGTAGTTACTGGGTGAGGGCCGGTGACCCTAGTCGATGGAGGGAAATCAAAAGAAAGAAGGAAAAAAAAGGAAAAAGGAAAAAAAGGAAAATGATTAGAAAATTTTAAAAAAAATTGTAAAAATCATTCACATTAGCACTAGCCACGCCACGTAAGCCGACAGGCATCCACATCGGCGATTTTCGGCCAAAATTAGCCGGAATGACTACATTAGCAAATCGTCAAATATTTATGATTAAATTGGTACAATTAAAATGTTTTATAATTGAATTAGCCATCATACAATATGTTTAAAACTTTTTGAACAAGTTTCCTAAGATGGTATCAATTACAATTTGAGGGTTCTCGTATCAAAATTGATGGGTGAATAATTTTACAAAATTTGGCAATCCAATGGAGGCCAAATCGACGGAATTGCACAATCATATTATTATCCCCAACGTCTTCTCTTGGAGTCAGACTGTCTTAGTTTGATAAACACTTTGAAGTCCACATATCAGTTTGTTTGGGAAGGGTGCGCACTTATTAGAGAGGCTCGTGATATGTTACCTCTCTTTACTAATTTAAGAGTAACCCATTGTAATAGAGACTGTAACCAAGTGGTTGACTGAGTTGCAAAGGCCCACAGAAAAAAAAAAAAAAAAAGCCCTCTCCCAGGACTAGCTAGCCCGCCCTCCGCAGGTCCTTTGGGATCTGCTTTGTTTTGAGGCCTCGTTAGTGGGTTTCGGTATTTACCGCTAATAAATAAAGACTAGTGGTTAGACAAAAAAAATATTATTAACCCCAAATCTATACATCCAACCATCCATACAAGAAAAACTTGGAAATTGGGCATAATTGGACTTTTATAGATTTGGGATTTAGTCACTCAATATATCATTTAGTATATTAAATTTTCGTTATAATTGGTGCAGTTTGACCAGGATTCGTCAATTTTTTTAATGAAATGCTTATATTCCATATATGTGGCTAATTTTTTTTAGTTCCATGTCATTGCTACATGGCCACCACCAGCAAATTTTGTCAAATCATTGGCTATTTTGGAAAAATTACCCAATCAGTTCTGAACCAATTGTACGAATATTAATTCAGTCCTAAACTTTTTAATTTTGCAAGTTAATCCTAAAATTTTGCGTAAATACTTTATGGCTAGTCGGTCCAGTCATTATTGACTGTCCTAAGTGGTCCATTACCACGTATTTTTGGCGAAAATTGGCCAAAATGATTATATTAAAATTTTGCATAAAGATTTAGGATTAAATTGACAAAATTAAAATGTTTAGAACTGAATTGACATCCGTATAATAAATTTAAAATTGATTGAAAAGTGTTCCCAGTTATTTTGTGTCGAATTGTATTGACGAAGTAAAAGTAAGAAAAGGAATACTGATTATATTAAGTAATTGAAATCAAAGTACAATGATATGATTACTAGCCAGTAATCTTTATCCAACTTAGCTAAGGAACACTCAACTACCAGTGAAATTTACTGATGGAATTAATTAATATTGCTTTTTATACTTTCAGAAAGTTCTCCTTTCAAGATGCAAAATAAATAAATAAAATAATAATCAAGATGCTCTTTGAGAATCCACCAAAGAATCAAGTCAAATATAGCGGCTCCATCAATTTACATTTGAAAACTGAACCTGAGTGTGGTCCATGTGTAGACATGCAAATCATATATATACAATGGGGCCGAGGGGTCCCCTCTTGTGGTCACCCTATATCTATCTATATACACAAAGCTAAAAAGCATTAGGACCCCTAGTTCCTAGCACGAGGAAAAGCCGGTGAAGATTCCTTCCGGCTATCGTAGGAAATATTACATTGTACAATGTACACGGTTTACTGTCATTGTATCTACAGTGAAGCTTAAAATTTCTTTCGAATGACCTCATTATAAGAAGAAAAAATGGGCACGGGCGATCAACCCTAACGATCCCCTTTAGACTTTCCCATAATTGTCTCTTACTCATTATAAAACGTCTGGATGAAATCATCGTGATCTGAAGTTTTGAGGTTGACAAGCCCGACTCACGAAAATGCTAACAGTCGGAAAATCTCTCCATACCAGGTAGGCCTCAATTAGGCAACGCAACATGCGCCATTCGGAGGTTCACTCGCGGCGTGAATCGACCCAATCATCAATAGGCCGATTAGGCAGTCATCTCAATGTAAATTAAAGAGGGCTAAAGAGGAGGGAAGGAGAAAAAAAAGAGGACCAAAAGGGGATATACCTTCTAAACATTTAGCTGATCCCGTGCCATGTTGGGGAATCGATACTGTTCTTTCGAATAAACTACAACTCTTTTGTATGTACCATCGTCAGTTCTTTAAAACCACCTATTGGGAATATGTCCGGATGCGTATCGACCTCAAGATTTAATACATTGTTCTTGGCCAAAAGGAGCATGTTTTGGGACCTTCGTGCTTTTGCTCGCTGTATCGAACTGATTGCACTCAATCTGAAGCGCATGCAGTCTGCCTAAATCGCCATTAAAAACCCCCCACACTCTGCTCATCTTTTCTCGGAAATGGGGGACCAAGGCGAGGTTTGTTTAATCATTCTGCAGAAAAGGAGACTCGTGGACATGGTCCTTTGAGCGTGGAACGTCTCGCAGATCGGTCCAATGATCATAATCAAACCAGGTGGGAAGGTTTCCGCCTGGGGAAATGAGGAACTCCAGATATGGAAATAATTAACTCTTGTCTGTATTGCAGACCCACCATTCATCGCTCCCTCGCTTTCCCTTTGTATACCTCATGCAGCTGTCTTTCCCTTTGTATACCTCATGCAGCTGTCATCTATTTCCCAGCACACAATATCAATAATCTAATGGAGAGACGTAATCGTTTCAGATAATACAAAAAGTCCTGCCTCCACTACTTGCTTGGCAGATTCCTCCTTTCCTTGAAACCCTGGTTTTCTTTATGTTCAAGGAATCCTCTACTTGCCCAAACAACAACTTTTTCTGAAAGCAATACAAAACTCCAGGTTTCAGCGTTCCTAATTATTAAATGTTCCTATCACGTAGCAGTAAATGTTTCTTATTTTCCCGTGGACGATGAATCGACTCTCTGTGCCTGTCATTGTTTACATTATTCGAGAACTGTGCACCCTCCTAAGTGAAGTACGATTTAAATGTTAATCTGAAGATCTCTTAAGGACAAGGACAGGTGTATGCTTTCCCAAGTACGATCTTCATTTGATCCAATTGCCTAATATAATACCGAAACATCGGCAAACATTGTATTTAGCATATAGAAGCGAACTGCGCTACTTAGCAGCACTATATCTACTGAGGCTATTGAGACCTCATGCCAGGGATGAGAAAGAAATGTCTCTTAGATACGGGGTACTAGACTAGTTGTTTCACTTTAAAAAGTCAGGTATGGTTTAGCCCGTTTGAGCATATGTTATGCACGGAACTGGGGTGTTCTCGGTGCTTCAAATTAGATGATTCGGTGCGATGTATAATCCCATTCCACTAATTTGAGGATGAAATAGGATAGAAACTTTTCGGAGGTCTTTCATCGAAGCAAATTTTAGGAATTATGAAAGTACAGAAACAAATCATTAGAGGGTTTCTCATGGAGACAGATCATTAGACTTTTATCATGAATCCTTGTTAGGGAATGTGGTTTCCGGAACTCTGAGTCTGTGGGAAGATGGAGTTTTAGGAGTCTTTGTTTTTTTTTTATACGGTTGATATTTGCTCTTAACAGGAGTTGTCGTTGGTCTCTCTCTCAATGATTTTAATTCTTTTTTTTCTAAGATAGCATCTTGGGTTTGTAACACACGGCAAATGAGATTAATAGAAGAAAAAGAGCAGCAGGTGCAGATAACTTTTGTAATGTCAGAGGAATGCAATTGCCGATGAGTTAGATGACACAACGCATCTTGTCTGCATTAGGAAGAATTAAGATCTGCAAAAAAAAAAAAAAAAACATAGCCTCACCTACCTCTCTATTATGCGTGTCCCCCCATCATGCATGTACTTAAACAATGACTGGTCGACCCTCCTCGGGGTTGAAAAGGGTGTCTGAACCCACCTGGAAGATCGAGGTGTTTTTGTCTGAATCTCTCTCTACCTTCTCTCTGAAAAACCCTAAAGAAAGGGAAGAAAAGGAGAAAGAAATCGTCTGACTTAACCATAAATAAGTGGAATAATGTTGTCGTATGGAACATGAAAGCATCAGCATATAGACATCCGGAGAGACAGAGACACCCATCAGTGATGGAGATAAATGAGAGAGAGAGAGAGAGAGAGAGAGAGAGAGAGAGAGAGATTTGGAGTGCGAGGAGAGGATTGAGACACGTACGAATGACCCGGCAGAGAAGTTTGCAATGTTTCTCAAAATTTGGGGAGATCTTATCCCATTCTTTTATACTTATTGGAAAGGGAAGGTATCTCTGGGGATTTTTCTCATTAAACTAGGAATGGCCGAACATCATTGATGCTGTCATGCACGTGATCATTATACTACTCTCTCTCTCTCTCTGGCGTCCCTTGTGAAACTAGAGTCTTAGCTTGATACTCGGGGATAGGACCACTTCTTGGTAAGGTCGACGAAACAGCTAATATTCTTCACAAAAATATCCTTTGGCCTTATGCTTCTAACAATAGCACATAGAGCTATAACAAGAGACACATATGAGACATCCATGCCCATGGTCATGCATATATTTTTAGGGAGCTTGTCACTAGTTTGCCCCTATGATCCGCTCGTGCCTAGGGCAGATGGAGCTACCCAGCATCCAATTTTTTTTGCCTTTTTCTTAAGCACACCCATTTGATTTATACCGCTTCTCTTTCTGTGTTTTTTCTATGTTGGAAGTTGTCTGTAAAGGGTTTTCTTTAGGCACAGAGTACTATGAATTTGTGGTATAAACTTATATTTTCAATTCATTGACTCTCAAAACTCAAACACATTAGCAATTGGACTAAAGGGTCGAGATCCAACCACATCACCCCGTTTAACTCGATTCACTAAAACGTGCCAGCGCCAATGAAACATTGGAACAAACATGCACCAAACCCTAAATCCTTAAATACTCTCCCTCCCTCTCTCTCTACTGCTCTCTCTGTGTGTAAACAAACGCGCACAAAACCCATTTGCATTTCCAAATTTGGTACAAAGGTTAGTCTTGGTGCTGATCTTTCTCATGTGAATTCATGAACATCTTGTTGCAGCGTCACTAGCCTCTCGAATCTTTTCTCAAGATGGCATCTGAAGTACCCCTTTACTGGTCACCCCATTATCCCTCCCTCTCATAAAAGGAAGCAATGAACCTACCAAATCCGATTCTGTCTCAATTGCTTCACATACATGTATCCCGAAAAAGGGTTTAAGAAATTGGTGGACGATAAGACTTCATCCTTTTCGTTGCAATTAGTTTATCATGAAGCAGTGATGGCCCACATCCATTTTTCTTTGCCCTTGGTAACATGGGACGTCCAGAAACATTCAACATCTCTTTTCCCAAAGATTCATGAAATTGAAGATGATGCAGGTACTGATTGTGACTAATTGATGATATCCTCCTTGCTTTGAATTAATGTATGGTACGTATCATTGAATCCCCAGACTTAAAATATATATGAAGCAACTGAAAAGATGGAATTGGCAGAAGAGAACATGTGCATTTTACGAAGACAATAACTATTGCGTTCTCTTTCAAAGGAGATTCTCTGCCAAATTGTCAATAAAAAAATCCCTTTCTCACCAGCATTTCCACGAATTGGTAGACCATTTATCCCGCATCGCAATCATTTGTTTTATAGATAATTTCCCATCTACCGAACTTGAGTCCGCTTGGATGAAAATCACCCATGTTGAGTATAGATACGAGAAATTACTTTTTTATGGCTTCATCATAAAGAAAATTTTATTTGTAATTAAACTGAATGTACTGTTTTTTCCCTTCTATTCATTTCAGTGCACTAACTTAAACCTCGCCATGGATGTGAAATAAATTCGTCTTTTAATGTTGGGTGTTACGATAAGCTGGAATCATGCAACAAAGTAAATTCACTTTTTCGGTTCGGTCAAAGACAATTCATCTTTACTTTACTGGACTTAGAAAATTTGAAAAAGCACTTCATTTTGTTGCTACATCAAAGTACACGATCAAATATGATAAATGATTTCACGTTTTTTTTTTCGAGACAAAACTTCAAAACCAGTTTAACACTTCTAATGGATCGTGGTTGTTTGATATTATCTCATCCCAATGCTGTACGCAATGTCTAATAAACAACTCCAAAGTAAAGAAAAACACAAATACAGACACCATCACTCAATTTGGAAAGATGTCATATCTGTCTACGTCAAATAGTTTCCACAGTTTCCGCATAAAAAGGCAGCATCATCACGCCTCTTCCTCCCTCCTTCTCCCCTCCTCTTCCCATCTTTTCCAAAGCAAATATCACCAATCTCTATCGCTCTCCTCCCTCTCTCTCTCTCTCTCTCTCTGAAATGTCTATAAACCATTTCTCTCAAGACCTTCCAGAAACACTGTGGTGGACTAACCCTCAAAGCCACCAGGACCACCACCAGCACCACCAACAGCAGTCCTTCATGGACATTCCTTCTTCATCGCCTTCCAAACCACACCACCACCAATTCTCGACCGCCCCTTGGACCTTCCACCACGGCCACAACGCCACCACTCTCAATTTCAACCTAAACCGCGAGGACGACGACGATCTCGACGAGCAAGTCATCGACGGCGGACACGGCGAAGAGCCGGGGGTGCCGTCGGAGCTCGACAAGGAAGTGCTGTTCGAGAAGCCGCTGACGCCGAGCGATGTCGGGAAGCTCAACCGCCTTGTCATACCGAAGCAGCACGCCGAGAAGTACTTCCCATTGGGCGGCGACTCGGTCGACAAGGGGCTACTGCTGAGCTTCGAGGACGAGTCGGGCAAGTTTTGGAGATTCAGGTAATTCTTCATACTCTTAGTCTTCGCTTGGCCCCTTTTTCCAGCAATTTGGACAAGTCAACACGCATTGCAAAGACTTTTCTTTGGCTTTTCTTTGTCATTTTCGCACTAATTCTGGTTGGAATTGGAAAATTCGTACATTAATTATCGCTGTGTGCATGGCAAATAGTAGAAAAGATTCTCCGCAAGCCACCTTGACACGTTGTATGACAGTGCACTTCTACGAAATAGGGACGCATGTGTGCATAGATATTTGTGTAGACCAAGACTTTTCTTTCTTTATGTGTTCGCTATCATCTTATTTTTGTTTTTAAATTATTTGCTTCAGGTATTCGTACTGGAGTAGTAGCCAGAGCTACGTGCTGACCAAAGGGTGGAGCCGCTACGTGAAGGAGAAGAGGCTCGATGCCGGCGACGTCGTCTTCTTCAAGCGCCACCGTGCGAACGGCGAGCGGATCTTCATCGGGTGGAGGAGGCGCGGGACGGCGGCTGCTCAAGAGAGCAGTGGTGCGGCGGCGGCGGGCGGCGACGGGTGGGGGAGGAGGAGGGCGGTGTACTCGGACTCGGAGCACCACCATCATCATGATCAACCGCATCAGCATCCAAATTTTGCTTACCCTACGCACCAGGGAGATGATGGGCCTCCTGTGCCATACCGACCAGACTGTACTCATGCAGGTATGAGGGATTGTGGGTTTGACATTGTCCAACCCAACCTGTCTTTCTTTTCGTTTCACTTTCTTTTTGGCTTCTTTGGGTTTTAAAATGAATTTTTCCTTAATAAATTAATTTCTGTGTAGACTGCGTTAAATGCATGGCTACAGTCATCTAAAATAACATTGAGAATTTAAGATGATCATGTGCACCCAACACTGATGAATGGCTTTCACCAAAGGATCTTGAGCCCCAGTTAATTTTTAAATCCTTGGTGTTAAATTCGTAAGGTTTCACCCACGTTTTGTTTTATGTCTGGTGATGTATCTGCATTTCAAATACGATCGACAACTTCTTCTTGCGTTGTGATTTCAGAGAGCCAAACAACTTATCATATGCACGTTCATGAAATGTGTAATTTCAGGATCGGATGGCAGAAAATCGGGGAATTCAAAAGGGTTACTGAGGTTATTCGGAGTGAACATGGAGTACCAGGTCGACGAGCCCGAGCCGTCGACATCCGAGGGCTTGTCCTTGTCGCCTTGCCACCGTCATCCGTTGCAGCGCCGTCAGTACTTACTCTGATTACCTTCCTTCCACTGTGACATGGTACGTCGTCCATATCCCATTCTTATAGCATAATATCTATATGCTAATGTCTACTAATTTGGACTTAACAATAAGAGTGCATAATTGCAATCGAACCAAAATTGGAATTTGGAGCACTTCTTGCGTGGATATGGATCGTGTGAGTTGAATATAAACTAGGCAATTGATTAAGTTGACTCCCATATGCGGTCCACATTCTTCTAAGTGTCTAGTGATGCGAGTTCCTCCTAACATGATGACCCGGGTATACGGGCTAACCTACCTCGCATTAGTTAAATATTCTTGGTTTGGCAGACACGTGGGCACTAGTAACAACTAGCTAGTCCCGATTGAAAATATTTTTATCTATAGTTGCTAAATCTTGTTGAAAGTCTGGCTTGCTAGGACCAGGGAAAATTCCTGATTTGATGATCTTAATCTTCTCATGCTACGGAGCGTAGACAATTTCAATCTTCTAGTGTTCTTAAATGGTCTCTAATAGCTCTCGTAAAATCCCCTGCCTAACTCAACCCAACCTCTGAAAAGCCTACGGCTTTGGATACGATCCTAATAAAATAAAGCATTTGTATAGCGAATAGGAAAAAGGTTCACTCAAATCCTCGTTTCAAAGTAATATTTGTCTCAAGAAGCGAGATATTTCTATGGCCTAACTTTATCGTCGCTAATCTCTTCGCGACAGCCTCAAGAGTCACGGATATGGACGACTCTATAATTATCCGATGTAGGCGGAACGAAGGGATTACCATATCAATAAGGACGGGTAACATGTCAATAATATAAAAATCTGGGCCTTATTATTTAGAGATAGTAGGGTGAATAACTGTGTGGTGGGACTTCAATGTTTATTACATGTCTTACCTGTTCCTAAAGAAAGGAGATGATGACTCTGTGTACTCTGTACTTGAGTCCATGGGAGTGTGTGCACTAAAGGTCGTGCATTACCTTATAGTTTAATCATTCGATTGCCCAAATTGGTCTTCCAAAAGGCAGATACGCTGAAACTAGCAAGGATCGCAGAACTGACATACATGTACTTGTTACCCTCTAATTACGAAAATAAAACTTGCATCTTTGTCCGTAAGTGAAAATGATTTCGTCCAGCGGTGTTATGTATCTATTAAAGAGAAATTATTATATGTCTTAGTCTATGTGGACCAATATCACCGTAATTATTAATCAAGTTGATTCTATCATGAGATCCATATATTCAATATTTATGACGGTTTTGATCTTATATAAATTGGTATCTTCATCAGCTATAATTAATTCGTTGTGTCTTTCGTACCTCCCGGGGATAAACAAGACATAGATCACCACAAGGACAATTTCTGCCTTATGACTTAAGCTATATCGGTGGTAGACACTTCAGTTGGCCATGGAAAATCCTCCATGTGAGGGAACAACGCCACCGAGTTTGGCCTTTTTAGAGCGAAGAGCGATTATCTTCCTCCCCCAAGTCACTCGACCTAGGTTCCGTACTTCGTCATGTCCCATCAGTCGCCTGCAATGTTCTTAGGCACGCTGGGTCAATTCCATCTTCTCGTAACCACACATTATCTTTCATCAGCCACGTGTTTAACAAACGATCTTTCGACCACATCTTCTTTTGTTGGTAGGTGATTGCCGACCTCTGATGTTGCGTCAATGCTTAGTCAAGTTCGCACGTGAAATGTTGGGAAAAAAGCAGCCTCTTTCGTTAAAACATTATAGGTTCTTGAAAACTAGCTCAGCTTAGGAACTCCTGTTCGAACAACATCGGCTAATTATGTAGCTAAGTTCAGGGCATTAGCTGTATGTCATGATATGGGAAGTACGAGCCACCAAGTCGGTGAGAGTTATTCATGCTGCTGCTTCTGATACCGTGCGTTGCTCTCTTTTCTTTTTTCCAACATCAAGCTGAAGATTGAAGATCGTGAAAACTAGGTGTCCCATCCGTACTGCTCGTATATGATGTGACCCAGATAATTGATTGATTGTGAACAAAAGTAGAAGCTCGTGGCCGAAACAGTGAAGCCCATAAGATACACGCTTGCATAAGATCTTTTGATCTTTGATATCTGTCATTATATGTGGACTGAAAACAACATGTACCCCCGGCAAACAATGAAGTGAAGGGTGTGTGTGATTACTTTATCAGATTATGGAAGATGTGAATCTCATGATGCTCTTGGAACAGGACATCGCTTTGTCTCAAGATGTCAACCGGGATGAGAGAAGTTGCCGAGGATGGAGATCTGTTGGATGTGACGTCCTCTCTGTTTTCTCGATGGACAAAAGTTGAACCCCCCACTTGGGAGGTCAAAAGATTTCTGTCAAGAAATAGAAAGGATTCCAGATGTTAAATATTTCTTTTTTGCAAAGGGCTTGAGAGAGAGAGAGAAGAAAGAAAAGGACGAGAGAAAATCCCAGATTTTCTGGGGAAAAATATATAATTTTCCTAGGCCACGAGACAAGGGGACCAAGAAAAGAAAATTGTGAGGCGTGGGGGCTTTTCATAATGAGTGGAAGAAAGATGGAGTGAGGGAAGGAGACTGCAGACGAGGGATGGGAAACGGGGTCCACGAGAAGAAGAAGAAGAAGGGGAGGAGGAGAAAGATGAGGTTGATGGCGTCAGCAATGGAGGGTTTTAGGGAGGATTTGGGCCGTCGAGATGAAGAATCTTTCTTTCTTTCTAGTTTTACTACTGTTGAGATTCTGCCTGGAGATTTTTCATGCAGAGTGATAATGATGAGAAGTGTGGGAGGGTAATGTATGGGTCGTGGTGGTGGTGGTGGAGGTGGTGGTGGTGAAGCATGTGTTTTGCTTTGCTTCTTTGCGTTGGTGGTGGGTGGTGTTGAAATGAGTAGACTAATGCCCACTTCTCTCTCTCTCTCTCTCTCTCTCTCTCTCATCTTTGATGTTCGCGTTCTCAATGGAAGCTACATGCTTGGTTTTAGAGCGATGATAGGATAGCATGTGCTTTGGAGGCAGCAAACCGAAACGCACTAACGGAGCAGGCACTCATGTTTGGGCAAGCACTCCCACCATCAATATCACCAGATGGAACCACACAACATGATGCCTAAGTGACCATAAATCATCTCAAAAGACTAATACAGCATCTGGTTCGGCCTTAAGCAGATAGTCACACTGAGTGTACATCTGAAATGGATGCTCAAGAATCCGTGGAAAGGTCACTTGGATGATCCCATGTCCATATGGCACCTGCATATCTGCACTCAAATAGTCAAAACAGTTATAGAAATGTCATTGTAACTGCAACAACAAAAAAATAATACTCGAAATATAGCTTTCAGTTGAAAGAGAGAGACTAAAGCATAATTGATCTTGCCCATGTGTGCGTATGATTCGATATCTGAACAATGAAGAATCAAGCAAATGCATATACCGATTATGTTCAGCAGCAGACCAAGAGATTGCGCTCTGAAATGCGCCATGCTTTTAGTGCCAGTGTGGCGTCTCATTGAAGAGAAGCAGCTATTAGTAGTTTCCAAGAACCTTTAGGACAATTGGAGATATGGCGAAGAGGAATTAGAGCTACCCTTCGCTTGATCGCGTCTGGTACTAGTCCTGCTTTTTCTGTTGATAAACTGAGAAAATAAGGCTCAAGATGAAGATGATGTGTAATGGAGAAGCAAGGTTATCAACTTCATTCAAATTTATACTCTATGGTATATAGACACGGGTTGGACTTTGTTAATTCAAACGGATCATCCCTTCCATGAATGTAAATCTTTGGTGGACGGGCAAGAGGATGGCAGCTTAAATCTTAACCATTCATCACCAGGATGAACGCAGTGAACAAACTCAGGCCATCGCCTGAACATGTCGCACACAATTTGGTTAGGTCTATAATCACCAACTAGGCAAATCTTCTAGCTGAGGACCGAATGAAGAAGTGAAACTCGTACTTGCTTCCCCCAAAAGAGAGAGTTTCGAGTGCCGAAGACATTCCAAGTATGTATTGGTCCGACCATTTTGCATGTCTGTATTGATACCTGTACAACTCAAAGATAAAGAATACAACTCAATAAGTCCATGATGACAAAGAACTAGAAAAAGTGGTATTTTCTTACCTTACAGTCACGTTTCAGTCCTGATCTCATTGAATGAAGATGGATAAAGTGCTTGAGTTAGATAGATGATCAACAGCTATCTGCACTTCCCTTCACTTGTTTTATGATTGCACGCTTACAAAGACGTCTTGGATAGAGCATTGCTCCTGAAATGGTGATCGGCAGGCCATGAAAGCAGCAGTCTGATCCTTGGTGACCTTACAATTTTTTTTTTGCTCCCAATTTCGTCCGACAAATATGAAGAAAGTGAATAAGATTGAGGTCCCATTCAATCAACATCTTTGCTTGTGTATATTGGCTTTGTGATTGCCCACTTAATAACATTATAACATGCTTTTCTATTTGAAATTTAAAGCGAGGCCATCAGGAACTTATTTCTGGAGCGTGAGAATCTCGGTACCTACGACGATGGAGGAAATCACACCTAGAGAGGAAATGCAACGATTGTGATGAAATTGACAGAAATTCAAGAAGATGAGCAAGGCAGGCACTCACCATCTTATAATAGAAAATGGGGGCATATATAGGCCAAGGCGGCCTATGCAATGTAGTGGAATATGTGAATTCTTGACATGTTTGTGAATCTACGGTTATGATACGTGCTCACATAAGATGAAATGATAACATGTTAGCTGGGATTGGGTTACAAGTACTTGAATCATGTAGAAAACAATGTTGTATTTGGCAAGTAATCAGGTCGTGACATACTGGCTTCCTCTCAATCTCATATTCAATATCTAGAAACTAAGCGATAAGTGAGGCGTCCATCAAGAGTGTTGCCTGAGGCTCATGAGGGGATGATGTGCTGGCGAGAACCGGGCAACAATTCACTAAGAATAAAACCCAATCCAGGATCAATATCTCCCCCACGATTGAACCGACCAAAATCGACTTAATCCTAGCAACAACCAATAATATTCCAGCAATTCAACCTTGAAATAATAAGGAGACAAATGCAACAATGACACCAAGATTTAACGTGGAAATCCAATGCGGGAAAAACCACGGACCACCCCAAAAACTTCCACTAATCACCAAGAATAGTAGGATACATCAAGTTCTTCTCTAGTCAGACACTAGAGGCACAACATCAACATTACAACATCATTTTTATCATCACGAAGGTGAATTTACATAAAACAGAGGACAAAACCTTAACTGTGAATGGAGAATTCGGAAGAGATTCTCAACAAACGAAACCGATCAACTCGTAGCCCTCGATCTCACGAACAACATACTAAAATTTGAGTCAATTCCGACAACGTTTGGCCCTCCAATCGGGATCATAAGCTGCAATCCCTTTTCTTCTCCCCTGTTCTCTTGTGCTCTCGGTGACGACCCTCTATTTTTCTCTCTCTTCTGTGGGCACACACTCCATGCACGAAGTACTTCTTTTTGTTCTTTTCTTTTTTTGACTTTTGTTTCTTTTCTCTTTTATTTTGTTTTATACTGGCTGGGCCCCACATAAGGTGGACCCAGTCAACAAATCTCCCCCTCCACCTCATGTGGGAAGATCCATCATGCTCGCTTTGCTTCTACAATAGTCAAGTTTCATCACGGGCAAGGCTTTGGTCATCATATTGGATCCATTATCGTCGGTGTGGACTTTCTCGAGTAGAAAGAGCTTCTCTTCTAATTTTTCTCGGACCCAATGATACTTCACATTAATATGCTTCGATCTTGCATGCAACACTGGATTTTTGCTAAGATAGATAGCACTCATGCTATCACAATATAGAACGGTCTTCTCTTGCTTCAAGCCCAACTCTTGTAGGAATTTCTGCATCCACAAGAGTTCCTTACCTCCTTCGGTAAGAGTGATATACTCCGCTTCAGTCGTAGACAAAGTAACATATTTTTACAATCTTGACTGCCATGAAACCGCCCCCCTGCAAAAATCATCATGTAACCCGATGTGAACTTTCGAGAGTCAACATCACCGGCATAGTCCGCATCTGAATAGCACTCAACTCAGGCTTTCCATTTCCATAACACAAACAGAATCTGAAAGTGCCTCTAAGATATCTCAAAATCCATTTAACAGCAGCTCAATGCTCTTTATCTGGATTTGAGAGAAACCTACTCACAACACCAACTGCATGAGCAATGTCTGGTCTTGTACAAACCATGGCATACATCAAACTACTCACGGCCGATGCATAATGAATTTTCATCATCTCTTCCTTCTCTTTCTCACTTATAGGACACTCGTCACTACTCAACTTGAAATGACTAGCAAGTGGAGTATTTACCGGTTTACATGTGCTCATATTGAATCTTTCCAACACCTTATCAATGTACTTCTCTTGAGATAGCCAAAATTTCTTGGTCAACCTATCACGAGTAATTTTCATGCCAAGGATTTGCTTAGCCGGACCTAGATCCTTTATTGCAAAAGCTTTACTCAACTCATTTTTTAAGCTCTTGATTTTCTTAACATCATGCCCGACAATCAACATATCATCCACACAAAGTAGGAGGATAAGAAAATCATTATCCGAGAATCTTTTCATGAAGACACAAGAATCGAAGTTGGTCTTACCATACCCGTGATCTTCCATGAATGATTTGAACTTCATATACCATTGCCTTGGCGCTTGCTTGAGACCGTACAAACTTTTTCTCAATCTACATACAAGATGCTCCTTGCCTTTGACTATAAAACCCTCCGGTTGCTCCATATATATTTCTTCCTCTAAGTCTTCATGAAGAAAAGCCGTCTTTACATCAAGTTGTTCAATTTCTAAATTCAAGGTGGTGGCCAACCCAATAACAACTCGAATAGAAGGCATTTTTACAACCGGTGAAAATATCTCTTCAAAGTCAATTCCTTTCTTTTGACGAAAGCCTTTCATAACAAACCTAACCTTGTATCGTGGTTGCAAACTACTTTCATCCGTCTTCAACTTATACACCCACTTATTTGTGATTGTTCTCTTGCCTTTAGGCAATTTCACCAATTCAAATGTGTGATTCTCATGCAATGATTTGAGCTTCTCTTGCATGGCTTCATACCACTTATTCTTTTGATCACATGACATAGCCTCTTCATAAGTTTCTGGCTCTCCTACATCGGTGAGTAACACATATTCACGCGGCTAATATTTCTGTGAGGGCCTACGTTCTCTTTCAGATCTTCTAACCTGAGGTAGAACCGGCTCTTCTTGCTCAATTGGCTCCACTGGCTCAACTGGTTGTTCTTGCTCAACTGTTTCACCCATCTCAACTGAAGAATCAACATTTTGTGAGGATTCACCATTTTCATGATTTCCATGTACTTCTCTCCTATGATTTCCACCCAATACGGTATGAGGACTTGGACTGAAACTAACATAATGTTGAGCTACATTCTTTGGCCTCCTTGGCTTGTTAATGTC